AGCGAGACCCCGTGTCTACTAAACAGAAAGAAATTAATTGGCCAACTAATATATAAAAAAAAATGAGCCGGGCATGGTGGCGCGTGCCTGTAGTCCCAGCTACTCGGGAGGCTGAGGCAGAGGATCGCTTGAGCCCAGGAGTCTGAGGTTGCTGTGAGCTAGGCTGACGCCACGGCACTCACTCTAGCCTGGCAACAAAGCGAGACTCTGTTCTCAAAAAAAAAAAAATAAAGATCTTATTACTTATGGGTCCTACATGGCAGGCCCAGAGGAAACACACACACACACACACACACACACACACACACACACGCAGGCCAAGGAGCCCCAGGCAGGGAGACAGGGACCTGTTGGGGGCCAAGGGGCACCCAAGCAGCTGTTTCCTGGGGGGTTCTAATTGGAGGGCTTAGAGAAAGCAGGCGTGAGTTGCACGGGGTCGTGCTGTGACAGAGAGCTGGTCACGCCGGCACATCCGCACAGTTCATGCTGGGTGCCGGGGCAGCAGCGCGGCATCTAGCTGTCCCCACGACGGGAGGTGGCCGCCAGGAGGCGGTTGTATAAGGCAGGTGCCTGGATGGGGAAGTGGAGGGCAGTGCAGAACGGGGAACTGTCTCAAGGGCGAACCAGCCCTGCTCTCGGTATGAGTCAGACTCACATTCACAATGGATGATGAGGCAACGTAGAAGGGCAAGACTCTCCGCATTGCTGGATTCTGCCCATTTTCTGTTAAGGAGTTTTGCATCTAGCTTCAGGAGAGACATTGCTCTGTGGTTTTCTCCTTTGTCCTGTTCTTGCTTGATTTTGGTGCCAGGGTGATTCCCTCCTGTTCTATTTTCTGGAAGAGATCGTATAAACGTGGTGTGAATCCTTCTTGAAGTGTTTGGCAGAATTCTCCAGCGAAACCGTTTAGACTTGGAGATTTCTTTTTCAGGAGCTTTTAAATAAACAAATTCAAATTTCTCTGATGGTAATCAGACTATGTATAATGGTTATAGGAGTGTCTACTTCGTTTTCGTTAAGTTTAGGCAGTTTGTGCTTTTCAAGGAATTGGTTTATTCCTCCCAAATTGTCCAATGGACAATATGATAATTGTTAATTTACAAATGAACAACCACTATCGAGTTGTTCATAGTATTCCATTATTATCTTTTTCATGCCTACTGGATCTGTAATAGCATCCTGTTTCATTCCTGACATTGCTGATTTTGTCTTCTTTCTTATTGTTTTTGTTAGTGTTACAAAAGTTTTATCAATTTTATTGATTTTGCAAGGTGTCGGCTTTCAGTTCCATTGATTTTCTCTATTGCTTTCCTGATTTCAATTTCATTGATGGTTTTTTGCTCTTATCTTTATTATTTTCTTCCTTGTGCTTGCTTTGGGTTTATTTTGCTCTTCTTTTTATAGTTTCTTGAGGAACAAACTTAGATTCTTTTTTTATATATATACATATTTTCTTTCTTTCTTTTTTTTTTTTTTCTTTCTTCCAGTATGGAACCTCAAGGAACTGAGAAACTTAGATTCTTGATTTGAGATCTTTCCTCTTTTCTAATACAAGCATTTAGTGCTATGAATTTCCCTCTTAGAACCACTTTAGCTGTATCCCCCCCCCCATTTTGACATGCTTATTTCTTTATTTTCATTCAGTTCTATATTTAAAAAAATTTTTTTTTCAGACTTATTCTTTGACCTATGGATTAATTAGAAGTTACGTTGTCTAATATGCAAGTGTTAGAGATTTTTCTGTTGTATCCCTGTTATCAAGTTCTGGTCTGATTCCATTATGATCAGAGAACAGACTGTATATGATTTCAACTCACTTAAGTTTGTTGAGGTTTGTCTCATGGCCCAGCAATGATCTACCTTGCTCAATGTTCCATGGGCACTTGAAACAATTGTGTATTCTATTGTTGTGTGGAGTGTGTGTGTGTGTGTGTGTGTATGAGGGTGTGTGTGTATTTGTGAATTAGATCCTGTTGTATGTGACCCTTGATACATCAAATATGTCTATTTTATTTTCTGTCTACATGAATTCGACTACTCTACACACCCCATATGAATGGAATCATGTGTCTTTTGGTGACTGGTTTATTACACTTAGTATACTATCCTTAAGGTTCCTCTATGTGCTGTGGCATGTGTCAGAATTTCCTTCCTTCTTAAAGGCTGAATAATATTCCATTGTGTGGATAGATCACATTTTGTTGATACATTCTTCTGTCAGTAGACATTTGGGTTGTATCAGCCTTTGGGCTATTGTGAATCGTGCTGCTATACATACGAGTGTACAAACATCTCTTTGAGTTCTTGCTTTCATTTCTTTTGGGTATAACCGGAAGTGCAATTGTTGGACCATATAGTCATTTTATTTTTAATTTTTTTCAAACACTGCCATAATGGCCCGTCACGGTGGCTCACACCTGTCATCCTAGCACTCTGGGAGGCCAGGGCAGGAGGATCGCTCAAGGTCAGGAGTTCGAAACCAGCCTGAGCAAGAGTGAGACCCCCGTCTCTACTAAAAATAGAAAGAAATGAATTGGCCAATTAAAAATATATAGAAAAAAAATTAGCCAGGCATGGTGGCGCACACCTGTAGTCCCAGCTACTCGGGAGGCTGAGGCAGAAGGATCGCTTGAGCCCAGAAGTTTGAGATTGCTGTGAGCTAGGCTGATGCCACGGCACTCACTCTAGCCCGGGCAACAGAGTGAGACTCTGTCTCAAAAAAAAAACAAAAACAAAAAAAAAAGCTGCCATAATATTTTTCATAGCAACTGCACCATTTTATATTCTCACCAATAGTGCACAAGCGTTCCAATTTCTCCACACCCTTGCCATCACTTGTTATCTTATTATTTTTTGTAGTAGCCATGCTAATGGGTGTGAGGTAGTATCTTATTGTGGTTTTGATTTGCATTTCCTTAATGACTAGTCATATTGAGCATCTTTTCATGTGCTTGTTGGCCATTTGTATATCTTCTTTGAAGAAATGTCTGTTCCATTCCTTTGCCCATTTTTAAATTAGGGTTTTTAAAAATTTTTTGTTTGTTTTTATTTTTTTAAGAAATGGGGTCTTGCTATGTTGCCCAGACTGGTCTCAAACTCCTGACCTCAAGTGATCCTCCGCCTTGGCCTCCCCCAGTATTGAGGTTATAGGTGTGAGCTACTCTGCCCAGCCAAATTGGGTTATTTGTTTTTCTGTTGTTGAGTTGTACTTTTGCCCATTTTAATACTAGGTTTGGGGCCAGGTACAATGTCTCACACCTGTAATCTCAGCACTTTGGGAGGCCAAGGCTGGAGAATCAAGCATTCAAGACAAGATTGGGCTCAGTAGTGGGATCGTGCCTGTGAATAGCCACTGCACGACAGCCTGGGCAACATAGCAGGACCCCATCTCTAAAAATTAAATAAATAAAATAAGACAAGATTGGGCAACATAGTGAGACTCCCATCTTGACAAAACACAGAAAAATTAGCTGGATATGGTGGCACGCACCTGTAATCCCAACTACTTGGAAGGCTGAGGCAGGAGGATTGCTTGAGCCCAGGAGTTAGAGGTTGCTGTGAGCTATAATGATGCAATAGCACTCTAGCCTGGGAAACACAGAGAGACCTCATCTAAAAAAAAAAGAAAAAAGAAAAAAGAAAATTGAGATATAACACATATACAGTACAATGCAGACCTCTCAGTTTAAAATGCAGAATATTTCCAGCACATAGAAAACCCCTCGTCAATCAACAACAGCCCCTTCCAGACAACTTTCATTTTGAATCTGCTTCAAAGGTTAGGTCTGTCAGTTCTTGAAATTCATTTAAAATTGAATCTAACAGAATGTACTCGTTCTGTCTCGGTTATTTCACTCTCTTGTGAGGTTCATCCGTGTTGTGGCAGGTATCAGTGTGGTTTTCATTGCTGTATAGTATTCCGCCCTTTCATTCAGCTGCTGGGTTATTCCAATTTGGAACTGTTCTAAATAAAGCTGCTATTAGTCTTTTCGTTTCCTGCTTGATACTATGTGACTCTCTTTGGTTCACAGTGTAGACTGTGGAGGAGGACTGTGCGGGTTCAAATCCCAGCTCTACCACTTACCATCCGTGTGACCTTGAGCCGGTTCCCTAACCTCAGAGTGCCTCAGTTTCCCACCCCCTTTTATTTTATTTTATTTTATTTTTTGAGACAGAGTCTCGCTTTGTTGCCCAGGCTAGAGTGAGTGCCGTGGCGTCAGCCTAGCTCACAGCAACCTCAAACTCCTGGGCTCAAGTGATCCTCCTGCCTCAGCCTCCCGAGTAGCTGGGACTACAGGCATGTGCCACCATGCCCGGCTGATTTTTTCTGTATATATTAGTTGGCCAATTAATTTCTTTCTGTTTATAGTAGACACGGGGTCTCGCTCTTGCTCAGGCTGGTTTCAAACTCCTGACCTCGAGCAATCCTCCCGCCTCGGCCTCCCAGAGTGCTAGGATTACAGGTGTGAGCCACCGCGCCTGGCCAGTTTCCCCATTCTTTAAAATGCAGTATGTGTGACCTACTGCATATAACGAAGATTAAATGAATGAGTTCATAAAGCAGTTATCGAAGGGCCCACTAGGAGAGGCAAAAGCAATAATGATTCAGCACACCAAGGCAGCAAAGCCCAAAGGTCAGAGGGGTGGTGGTTCCAGGAAACCCGGGGTGCGGTGGCTCATGCCCGTAATCCTAGCACAGGTGCTGGCCCACCCCGCCCCAAGGGGAGGGGGCATAACAAAGTAGCTTTTGGTTACAAGTTACTGGATTTCCCTGACAGCGTCCCCCAGCTCAACCATGCCATGGGTGGACCAGTCCTTCTCCCTCTTAACCCCAGGCCACCCCTCCCGGCCTCCCTGAAACTCCTATGGGGTCTGGCCAATTCTCTGACCCCTTCCACTTTCCGAGTCACACGTACCCACCACTTCCCTGTTTCTCTTCCTCAATGGGAGTAGATTTAAGGTGTATGGATGGTGGGGCGGGGAATGAAGGCCATGCTCCCCAGGAATCTTGAACACTGAGGGGACAGTGCGGGGACATGAGTGACTCCCAGGAGCTGGGTCTCCTGGGTGAGGCTGGGGTGGGACTCTGGGATCCAGGGGATGGGACCCAGGGGGTGGCCAGCTCTGGCCTCAGCGTGCCCAGGCTCTGAGTTGATGTCTGTTCATACAGAGGAGGAAGAGCTGAGAACCGGCTTCATCAGATTTTTTGCAAGAGACTTAGGATTCTGACGGATTTGTGGCCCGAAGAGCTCAGCAGGTAGAGAAGGTCCGGGGAGCAGGGAGGATGGAAGAGCCTCACAGACTCCAGGGGGCTGGCAGGTGGGGGTGGAGTCTGGGGTCCCTGGACGTGGGGACTGCAGTCCTGGGTCCTGGGGGAGTGGGGGAAGGGGTCTGGAGTCCTGGGTCTTGGGGGAGTGGGGGATGGGGCTAGGCTGTCTCAGGGCCAGGCTGAGATGGGGACACTGGCGTGCTAGGCCAAGCCTCCTCCCCCCTGCAGGGTGTCTGGGCCGCAGCCCCTGGGTGCTGCTGCTCCTCTACTTCATGGTCCTCACTGGACTCCTGGTGACCATCTTTGTCCAAGGTCAGCGGCAGGTTTGTGGGTCTCGGGCTTGTAGACCTGGCCCTTCAGAGGTGGCAGGTACACAAGGAACGTGGGGCTGAAAGCAGGCATCGGGTCCCTGGGCTTTCCAGGGGTCTCTGCCATGGCCCCTCCCACTCGGGGGAGGGGAGGGGAGGAAGGAGGAGAAGGAGGAGGAGGAAGGACCTGGCTCCCCTTGCCTTTCTGGGCCACCCTCTCAGGGTGTCAGTCTTCCTCAATTTCAAAGGGGATTAACCAAGACCTTGGGTCTCAGAATACATGGCCCTGGAGGCCCAGAGCAGGGCATGACGCACAGTAGGTGCTTAATAATTGCAGTTCCTTTTTTTCCTGGCACAGTCTCCAAGCTCCCCAACTCCCTGGGGCAGCAGCGATCCAGGCAGGAGAAGATCTACCAGGAGCTGACCCAGCTGCAGGCTGCAGTCGGTGAGTTTCCAGAGAGATCCAGGCAGGAGAAGATCTACCAGGAGCTGAAGGGCTGCGAGTCCGGGGAGTGCCAGACAGATGCCGTGGCAAGAGAGAAGATCTAGCCAGGAAGCTGACCACTGAAGGTGGTGCCAGTCGCGGGTGTAGCTGACAAACGCTCACCAGGGGGAGTCCGTGTAGGCCGCTGAGCTGTGGCGTGGCTCCTCCAGGGGCCTGTTGATCTGTTGGCGTGAATGGCACCAATCCCTCTCTGAGGCCGTCAGTTTTCGCACATCTGTGAAAATGGGGAACATAAGGAGTAATGCGGCTGGACATATTCCAGTTGGGTGTCACAGGGGAGCAGCGTATACAGTAGGCAACTCAGTGTAAGGCCCAGTCCCCTGGCTGCCCGGCGCTGAGCCCTGCAGAATGCACGCTACTTGTCGCTAGTCTGGGAGGCTGAGGGTGGGCCAGGACTCCTGGTGTGCTCCTGAGCGAATTGGAACGGTCTCAGGATGTGGGAGGGGGATGTTCCCATCCCAGCTGGTATGGCGCGAGTCAGGGAAGGGCCCCCGGACCCCCGAAGGCTTGAACAGGGTGGCAGGGTCGTGCCGAGACCTTGTTGGGCATGCAGATCTGGGCTCCCAGCCATGGGCCACGCGTGCCCCCAGACAGACCACCTGTGGCTGCCCCTGTCCCTGGGGACTGGAGCAATTCTTCAAGAAACTTGTTGACTTCTCTCCAAAGCTGCCCAACTGGACTTGGCGACTGTACGCGCCTATCTAGCGTTCCCTGCAGGGACGTGGGGGCCCAGCTGGTGGTCATCAAAGGCGATGAGGAGCAGGTACACCTGAAGGCCCCGTCCTGGCCTGGGGCATGCAGGGGGCCACTGGCCAGCGTGGCCGCAGGTGCCCAGAGAGGCCCGTCCGGCAGTGGGGCTGCTTGTTCACTTGGAAAGGCAGGAGGAGAAGGGTACACACAGGGGGTCCCAAGCACCTCGCAAGGAGGGACAGATTCTGAACACCTGTGAGTGCTTGGGGCGCACGGCGCAGGCACGTAAGCCCAGCGGCGTGCTGCACACCCCCAACAGGCAGCTCTCTGGGGGAGTAAGTCGTCAGGTGTAGGGCTTGCCAATTGCCCTGGTGTAAACATTCCCACTGTGGCTGATTTCAAGTGACTGATGTGACGTCGCTCACTGCGCAGCTGAAAAGAGACGTGCTTGACCCCCAGTCACCGACTGGCACGCTCTGTCTCCAGAACATTAAAGCCCGTCATGAGTGAATTCATGCAAACACAAGAAAATACTGTATTTCCGCGTGTGTGTGTGAGAGGCCAGCGGGGCAGGTAGGCGTGTCAGTCAGAACCCATGTGCGTGGGACGCAGATGTGAGAGGGACTCGGACACGTGGGGGCTCCAGACCCGGTAGACTAGAGGCTGAAGGTTAGACTGAAAGCAGAACTTCTGCCAAGAGGTGGGCAGACACGGAGCCTGGCCAATGGGAAGCGGAGCTCCCCTCTGACTCCCCCTGTGTCCCCCCCGTCCCCTCCCAGAACTTTCTACAGCTGCAGAGTGCTGGGAGGAACCGCGTATCCTGGATCGGGATGTCAGACATGACCCACGAAGGCTCGTGGCAGTGGGTGGACGGCTCGCCTCTTCCGCCCAGGTAGACCCGGCAGCAGGGGACACCTGTGGGGGCCGGGGCGGGGGTTCTAGAGCTTTCCCTGGGGATCCCGCCCCCCTGCCTGACCCCTCAGCGGGCGGGCCGTCTCAGCGCCCGACTGTCAGGGGAAGGTGGTCTCACACTCACGCCCAGACAGCGACGTCCGCGTCGCTGCAAAGTCCCACCGTCAGGGCTGAAGCAGGAGCGTGGCGCCGGGCGGGTGTTTCAAGTATCGTGTCCGAATCGCAGTGGGAGGTCCAGTGAGGCCAAGGGCTCAGAGCCAGCTGCCGTTGTGAAGATACCTGGTCCCACTCACAGCTCCCAAACGCGAGCTCCCACCCCACCTGGGTGGGTCACGGGGCGGCTCCTGAGGCCCAGGGACCGCCGGGCAGTGGGGCTCTGCGGGGAGGCTGGGGCGGGGCAGGGCGAGCAGCCTTAGGAGGGGCCGTTGCAGGGGTGTCCCTGGCCCTGGGCGCAGGGGCTGCCCCAGCTGTCTGGCACCTGGCCCCGGGGTGATCAGGACAGGGGACAGGGGCCCGCACTGGAGAGCCCAGGAAGGGAGTGGCTGGGTGGGGGCTCCGGCTTGGCTGGTGCGTGTGTGAAAGTCACCCCACTGCGGGACAAGGACTGCTCCCCAGCAGGGGCACCACAGGGGGCAGGAGGCCAAGGCACCGTGTCTGCGGCATACTATGGGTTGTCCAGGGCAAAGGCTGTGCGGCAGAGGGACGCAGGCAGGTGCGGAAGCACCAGGTTCCCAGCAGGTGGAAGCGCCGCTCCTGTAGAGGGGCGAGGACGGACGCTCACGCCCCGCCCGCGCTTGCAGCTTCACCAAGCACTGGCAGCAGAATCAGCCCGACAACTTCAAGAACGAAGACTGTGTGGAGCTTATAGACAGTGGCTGGAATGACCAGAAATGCAATGCTGCCAGATTCTGGATCTGCAAAATGTCTGCGGCCTCCTGCCCCAGCGAGCAAGGGCGGGTTCCCGCCTCCACCGCTGCCCCAACCCTGTCTGCTCAATAGCAGAACGTCCCCCACTCTTGGGGCGGGGTGCCTTCTCCCCGCCCCCAGACCTTAACAACGCCCTGGGTCTGCTCTCTGTAAGATTCCTCGTCCCCCGTGGGCCCGGGTCCCCTTCTGTCCCTCCTCCGATGCCTGGGGGTCCTCCTGGGTCAGAGGTCGCGCTTCCTGCCCATCCCGGGAGCTTTCGCAGTGGCCTGGTGTGGGCACACGCAGGGCGGGAGTGCTCTGGCCATCGACTCTGTCTTCTCTCCAAGATCAGAACGTTTGAGTGGCCATGTGTACCCGCCATGCCCCCGGGCTTCACCCCTTCCTTCCGCTCCCCTTCCACCTGCCATGCCCTGCGCGCCTTTGACCGAGCACTTGCTGCTACAAGAAGGCATCTTGCAGCTGGGAGCGCCAGGGAATGAAATGCCCAGTTACCCAGTGACACCCATAGATAGCATGGCACCCCCAACCCCCCCCACACACCTATCTATTTTGTTGTTGTTCCTGCATCTCTTCTGTTTGACTGTTCCTGAGTTGCATCCTTTATAATGAATTGACACACGCAGACAAACAGTTGTCCAGAGTTCTGTGGGTCATTCTGGCAAGTTCCTGAACCTGAGAGGGGGTGGTGGGAACCTCAGTTTGTCATCAGCCACGTAGAAACGCAAGTGGCCCTGGCACCCCTGTGCAGCTGGCATCTGCAGCAGGTCCTGTCTTATGGGACAGAGCCCTGTCACCTGTGGGATTCTGGGTTGAACCCCAAACAGCCAGAGTGAGTGATAAATGCAATCCCCCAGACCAAGGAGACATGACGACTGATACGAACTGAACTGTGTTCTCCCCACAATTCACGTGTGGACCCAGGAGTGCAGTCCCCACCTCACACCACCCCGGGCTCCGGGAGGCCAGTCCCCATCCCTCACCCCAATCTTGTGGGACGGAGCCCTTTAAGTCTGGGATTCTGGCGCTAAGTCCAAGTGGCTACTGCGAGGGGAAAATGCGAGCTCCCCAGACTAAGCATGACTGGTAGCAACTGAAGTGTGTCCCCCCAAAATTCACCCATTGAAGTCCTAAGCCCCGAGACTTCAGGATGGGCCCATATTTGGAAATAGGGTTTTTGAAGAGGTGATGAGGTTACAGTGAGGTCCTGAGATGGGTGCTGATCCAATGGGACTGGTGTCCTCACAAAACGGAGAAACGTGGGCACAGACACCCGCAGAGGGAAGATGGGGAGAAGACACGGGGAGACACTTGTAGATACAGGTGGCCGTCTACAAGCCTAAGCCAGAAGCCCCAGAGAAACCAACCCTGCCCACGCTCTGGTCTTGGGCTTCCAACCTCTAGAGAGATTGGAAGAGAAAGAATACATTTATTTCTGTCCTTCGAGTGCCCCGGCCAGTGGTGCCCTGGCAAACTCTGGCACTGACTGCATGCAACATGGGATCCCACGACGGTGAAAGGACACATATGGAAAAGCTGGTATTGCACCAATATCAATTCCCTCATTTGGGGACATGTGCATTGGTGATTCAAGACGTTGGAACTACAGGAAGCTGGTTAAAGGACATACAGAGATCTCTGTGCGGCCTCTGCAACTCACCTGTAAAGCTAAATCTCTTTCAAAATAAAGTTTGTTACAGATACAGGCTGCTGTCAAAAAAAAAATAAAAAAAAAAATAAAGTTTGAAGGCCGGGCACGGTGGCTCACGCCTGTAATCCTAGCACTCTGGGAGGCCGAGGCGGGCGGATTGCTCGAGGTCAGGAGTTCGAAACCAGCCTGAGCAAGAGCGAGACCCTGTCTCTACTAAAAATAGAAAGGAATTAGCTGGACAACTAAAAACATATAGAGAAAAAAATTAGCCGGGCATGGTGGCGCATGCCTGTAGTCCCAGCTACTCGGGAGGCTGAGGCAGGAGGATCACTTGAGCCCAGGAGTTGGAGGTTGCTGTGAGCTAGGCTGACGCCAAGGCACTCACTCTAGCCTGGGCAACAAAGCGAGACTCTGTCTCAAATAAATAAATATATAAAGTTTGAAGAAGACTCAAAAACCCTATACAGCGGCAGTCCCCAACCCCCGGGCCATTTACCAGTGCTGGTCCGTGGCCTGTTAGGAACCGGCGACACAGCAGCAGGTGAGTGACAGGCGAGAGAGCGAAGCTTCACCTGTATTTACAGCCGCTCCCCGTCACTCGCATCACCGCATAAGCTCCGCCCCCTGTCAGATCGGCGGCGGCGTTAGATCCTCATAGGAGCGCGGACCCTACTGTAAACTGCGCATGCGAGGGATCTGGGTTGCGGCTCGTTGTGAGAATCTAACGCCCGAGGATCCGAGGTGGAGCCCAGGCGGTGATGCCAGCGCTGAGGAGCGGCTGCAAATGCTGATCGTCGTTAGCAGAGAGGTCTGGCTGCACGATAAATGCAATGCGCTTGAATCATCCCCAAAACCATTCCCTCCCCCCATCCTGGTCCATGGACGAATTGTCTTCCTTGAAACTCGTTCCTGGTTGGGGGTGGCTGCAGAGGATTCCATTTCTATGAGGCATCTAGAGAAATTCATAGGAAAAGAAAGTAGAATGGGAGGCCGGGTGCGGTGGCTCACGCCTGTAATCCTAGCACTCTGAAGGCTGAAGCAGGGGGATCGCTTGAGCTCAGGAGTTCGAGACCAGCCTGAGCAAGAGCGAGACCCCCATCTCTACAAAAAAAAAAAAAAAAAAAGAAGAAGAAGAAGAAGATGATGAAGAAAGAAAGAAGGATGGGGAGAGAAATAAATGAGGAAGTAGCGTTTCATAGGGACAGAGCTTCAGTTCAGGAAGTGGTACATTCTGAAGGTGGACGGTGGTGGTGTTAGCACAACAATGTCAATGTACTTAATGCCACTGCATCCTATGCTTAAAAGTGGTTATAATGGTAAATTTTATGTTATGTGTATTTTATCACAATAAAAAATAACTATCAAAAAATCTCTTTGGGGTTGTTATTGGGGTGGCATTGGTTTTAATTTGGGATCTTTAGGACGGAGAGCGCCCTTCCGTGATGAGGAGAGACAGAAGAGGGAAATGAAGGTTTTATTACTTACGGGTCCCGGGAGGTACAAGGCACGTCCAGAGGCCACGCGGGGAGCTCAGGGAGCACTTGAGGGGACAGGGGAGAACAAGAGACAGAGAGAGGCCCGTGAGCAATGCCTTTACTGGGGTCCATGGCTTTACCCAAAGAGATGTCCTGCGGGGCAGATTTCAGCCGGCACGGGTTCCAGGAGGTCACGCTGCGACAGAGAGGTGGTCGGTGGGACGCATCTTCTCTGTCGGAGCAGGATGGCAGGGGCGGCAGGCCAGTCACGGAGCCTGTGTCCAGGGAGGGGTCCCCAGGAGGAAGTTGTATGGAGCAGATACCCGGGTCGACCCTGCTGAGCAACTGAGAGGAGGTGGGGAACTGGAAACTGGGCAGTGGAGGAGCCCCGCTTCTGGCAGGAGAAGGTGCAGCTTGTATTCGGACTGGATGCTGAGGCGCCATGAAATTGTAAGAACGAACTACAGAGGCCGGTTGACCAAATAAGGTGACCAAATAAGGTCACAGGTTCCAGAGGTTAGGGCTCCAACAAACCTTTTTTTTGGGAGATGCAATTCAACCCACTACACATCACACAATCTTCCTTTCATTCTTTTTTTTTTTTTTCTTTTTTTGAGACAGAGTCTCACTCTGTTGCCTGGGCTAGAGTGTCATGGCGTCAGCCTTGCTCACAGCAACCTCAACTCCTGGGCTCAAGAGATCCTCCTGCCTCAGCCTCCCGAGTAGCCGGGACTAAAGGCATGTGCCACCACGCCCGGCTAATTTTTTTCTGTATATATTTTTAGTTGTCCAGCTAATTTCTTTCTATTTTTAGCAGAGACGGGGTCTCACTCTTGCCCAGGCTGGTCTTGAACTCCTTAGCTCAAGTGATCCGCCCGCCTTGGCCTCTAGGAGTGCTAGGATTACAGGCGTGAGCCACCATGCCCGGGCTCATTCTTTTACCATTGATTTTACCAAAAAATGGTCCTCATATTTCACTATTCACTAAGACATTTCTGTAGGATCCTAGAAATGGCCCCATCTCAAATTAAGGAAGCTTTATCCTATTTTTTGTTTACTAAGCACTTGTCTTCCCATGTTTATGGTTTTGTTTTTTAAATGACACATCAGTACTAAAGAGACATATCTCATAATTATAATGTGGAGAGGACAAAAATTGCCAGAAGACAGAGACCACGTGGTGACATTTTTGTAAAGATTCCAGATGTGCAAAGCAACCCAATATATTGTCTATGGATCCATGCATGATTGAAGGATTTGTAGGCAGGCGAGCACTTTGGGAGGCTGAGGCAGGAGGATCGCTTGAGCCCAGGAGTTGGAGGCTGCAGTGAGCTATGATGATGCCACTGCACTCCAGCCTGGGCAACAGAGAGAGACCTTGTCTCAAATAAATAAATAAATACAGTATTTTAGAATAAATTTGCTAAGGTCCTCAAAGAAATTGATCTGGAATTTTGGTGTGGTTTGTGATTAATTTCTGAATTAATTTGGGAAGAGTCCCAAGTAGCTGGGACTATAGGCACATGCCACCATGCCCAGCGAAATTTTCTACTTTTTATAGAGACAGGGCCTCACTCTTGCTCAGGCTGGTCTCAAACTCCTGACTTCAATCAATCCTCCCACCCTGGCCTCCCAGAGTGCTAGGATTACAGGTGTGAGCCACCATGCCCGGCCTACAGCTTACTTTTTAAATTATGCTTATTATGTTTAGTATGGGGTCTGTCTCCCCTCATGCCCCACTAGCATGTTAGCTCCAAGAAGAGAGGAATTCGCCTATTACATTTTCTGATCTAGCCCCAGGTCCCCCATCAATGCCTGGCACAGCGTGGGTGTGCTGTATCTGTCGAAAGAAGGCAAGAACAGTTTGCATTTTTGATGTGCCTGAGATGGTGGTGGGTAGACATGCACAACCTCATTTCTCCATCACAGCGTCCCTTGGAGGGATGCCCTGTCACTGTCCCCATTTTCACAGAGCAGAAAACAAAGGCTTCTAAAAGCTACGTAGAGCTCACGCTTGTAATCCCAGCGCTTTGGGAGGCTGGGGCAGGAGGATCACCGAGGCCAGGAGTTGGAGACCAGCCTGAACAACATATACAAAAAGAAAAAATTAACTGGATGTGGTGACACTGCACACCTGCAGTCCCAGCTACTCAGGAGGCTGAGGCAGGAGGATCACTGAAGCTCACCAGTTTGAGGCTGCAGTGAGCTATGATGATGCCACTGCACTCCAGTCTGGGTGACAGAGCAAGACCCTGTCGAAAGAAAGAGAGAGAAAGAGAAAGAGAAAGAAAGAAGGAAGGAAAGAAAGAAAGAAAGAAAGAAAGAAAGAAAGAAAGAAAGAAAGAAAGAAAGAAAGAAGAAAGAAAGAAAGAAAGAAAGAAAGAAAGAAAGAAAGAAAGAAAGAAAGAAAGAAAGAAAGAAAGGAAGGAAGGAAGAAAGAAAGGAAAAGAAAAGAAAAAGAAATAAATAACATGTCTTTTAGTAAAGTT